AAATCTTACACACTGGACCTTTAAAGACTATAATGTGATTGTATTTATGGTACTTGTTACACTCGCGTATACTTAAAATGAATGTTATTCCTGCAATGAAAAAAATGCACACATTGCAGATAAAGGAGAAAGAATTGGAAATGATTTATCACAGCATCTTATTCACTTTTTCATGAATGCAATGAAACTCCCACCTATTATCCTGTCATCAGCTAAGTGCTGAATCAATAAATACCAACTAACACAGGAACTTCCACTTTCCAGAAAAAGTTAAGTGTAGTAAGTAAAAATAGTATCATTGATCATCACTGAAAAACAAAAAATCTAAGGTATTTGAAATTATGAAATAATGTATTTGTATTGTGCAAAATAATGGAGATTAATAATCCAGCTAACTTGTTCACAACCTCAGCATGTGTCTTTCAAGTTGAGCTTCCTGTTAACTAACATATTTTGCACTGTTTGCCAATGGTCTCAGAGTGATGGTCAGTGATGCAGTCTGAAAACAGTTGTTTAGCAGATGGTGCAGAGCCAAGTGTGATTTGTACGTTTAATGGAATTGTTTGTAAAATTCCCTTTTCTATCTCCACCTGTGCAGGGTCCTGCTGGGCCTCCGGGGCCAATTGGACCTCAGGGTGTAAAGGTAAACAATGTCTTCTGCACTTTGTCTCGTGAGGCTAATGTTGTATTTTACCGTGGTGTGTGAATGGTACCTGCTCCTTTCGCTAAGACTCACAACTTATATCTGCCATGCACTTGCTAAATCACTGAGCATTTCATTATGTGTCTGTAAAAACCTTCTTTTCTTTTGTCCCAGGGGGATCGAGGTATGCCCGGTCTCCCTGGACTCGATGGAGAAAGAGTGAGTTCTTATATTCTCATGCATTGCTGAGTTCTATTTGGATTGGTTTTCAAAGAACTGTGACATTCAGATATCTCTTGATATTCATTCAGATGATGACTAGACATTTTAGTAAATCTTGCACTCAAAGGACATTTAAGCTTTTTTTTTTTTAAATCTCAGTATTTTTAAAACAAAGTGCATTTAAGAGTGGTTAAGAATAACTTTCTTCTCTCAGGGCTACAAAGGTTCAAAAGGAGACATGGGAATGCCTGGAGCCTCAGGGGAGAAAGGAGCAACTGGTTTACCTGGTCTACCTGTAAGAAGCTATTTACACTATTTTTCTCAGATAAAAGCCTTTGAGATGCATGAAATGTTTGTTGTCACAAGGAATGTCCATCCATCTTCTACACGTGACATAAAGCTGTTTTTCACCTCAGGGTGTCAATGGGCTCAAGGGAGAAAAGGGAGATCTGGGTCTCCCTGGTCCTCAGGGTCCTTCAGTAAGACTCAACTTTTCACAAATATCAGTCACTTGTATTGAAAATGCTGTGAAATTCTTTCAAAACTTGCTTAACTGTAATAAAATGTGTATATTTCAGATTATTGGCTCTCCAGGGCCTCTAGGGCCCCATGGACCGCCAGGACCCATGGTGAGTTTTTTTAAGTATTTACATTTGGCACATCCCAAAACTCAGTTAATTACACACTATAAATCTAAAAATGCAAACTTTATACATGAGATTGACCCACAAATTATTAACAAGGGAGCCTTTTGAATAATTTACAAGCCCAAGATAATAAAGCATATAGATCACATCGGCTCTTGTTACAATATGTCAATAATTAAACCTCCATTTATGCAACAACCTCAGTTATTTTCTCTTTGTGGTCTTTTGTGTAGAAAAGCTGCTAAAAGACTAAACTCAGAACAGCCTGGTTTTGATGCTGTTGTACCTTATGTGTGTTCAGCTCCAGTAGCTGTTTATGTTGTGTGGTATTGAAAGTAACATGGTGATAAATGAAGATAATCAGTTCAAAGAGCAGCTTAACAAACTAATATTCTTTGTCTTTTGATATTTTTCAGGGACCCCACGGTTTCCCCGGACCAAAGGTAAATCTCAATAACACAGTAAAAGCTCAGTTACTTTACAGAAAGGAAAGCGGGACATATTCAAGTCATTGAGTCTGTTATTAAACCAAAAACATTATTTTTTAAATGAATTCCTTTAACTATTATCAAAATTCAAGTTAGCTTTAAGTGTTTTTAGGCATTTTAAATAATTGAAACATCCCCTGTTACAGTTACTAAATGCTTGATGCACATCTTTCTGCTGTTTCCAGAGCTTTTGACCACATGTCATGGTCTTCCTAACTGCATCTGTTGTTTCTAATATCAATAATAAACTTAAAAACAACATGCTAATTATTAAATTCTAATTTCTGCCACAATACAATTTCAATATTTCTTATATTGGCAACATTACCATAGGAAACGCTTTCCAAGAAATGATTTATCTTCTGAAGAGAAATTTAAGGATCCAATTAGAGGTGTTTCAGATATTCGGCGTTTACTGGGGGAGCAGAGGATACACACACAGGAGAGTGAACGTAAAGTAGGCAGACATGCAAATCCTACAGGGGAAGTTGGTATCATGAAATACTCAAAGAGATTGACTGATTGCAACTGTGTCTGCCCTTGTTTCCCCCATTTTCCCAGGGTGAATCTGGATTGCATGGTTTGAAGGGGATGCGAGGGGAACCGGGACACAAAGGGGATCGTGGACCTCTGGGTCTCCCTGTAAGTACAGCCACGCCCCGGTGGATATGTCCAACCACCGAGCCTCGTCTTCCCTCCAGACATCTATAGGAAAAAAAACAAACAATGTCCTGTCTGATTTTTTGTTGAGTGTGTGTCTGCGTGTGTGCGTGTGTCTATACTGCCTTTGACATTTTCTGTCCTCATGTCCATTTGCCCGACCTGACTACTTCGCCAAGCTCCCTGTAACGCACAGTGTAATGTAGTTGTTGTGAACCCTACCATCAAGCTGTCCTAATAACAGTGTTCATCTGGTACTAATCCCGCCTTGTTCATGTCACTCATACCTCCATAACCACGCAGGGAGCCTCCGGCTTGGACGGCAAGCCCGGAATTGGGGTGAGTGTCAAGTGACCAAGGGGCTTCACCACCCGACCTCTGTCTACTTCTCTCCCGCTCACCCTCCATACAGTCCCCCATCTTGTATGAAGGACAAAAGATTACACAACTATTAATATATAAATAAATGCAGAAATAGATGAATACATAGATAAATGAAAAATACTTAGTTTAAGGCTAGTTCTGTATTCCTACAGTAATTTATTTATTTATTTATGTATGTATGTATTCATTTTTCATTTACTCATTTTAACATCTATTTTTTGTAACTAATTTCCACATTTATTATTTTTTTTAATAATGACATTCATTCATTTATTTATTTTTTCATTGCCAACATATTAATTATTTATTCATTTTTACATTTATTCATTTATTCATTTCTACTTATATTTATTCATTTATGTATTTACCAGTCCATATATTGATTAGGTTGGAGGGGTTAACTCACTCTAAAGGCAGATTGGTTATAGCGGTGGGATCATCACCTGTAACATTTAAGGCTGTGGAATATTTATTTTCTTAATTTATACTTGTGTCATTTTTTTGTCCTTCATTGTCTTCCTCATACTTTATTTTCCCCTTGTCACCTCATTTTATTGTATCTCATGAAAAGACAGTTAGATTTTTTTCATTGTTAGATCTTAGTCAGGTCTCAGGAGTCGAATGAGCAACACTTCAGTGACAATAGGGACAAAGTTAGATTAGACACTGCAAGGCTTTCGTCTGTCCCGTGTTGCATTAACACACACTCATACTTTAACTGTCAACAGTTGTAAATGTCCTTTGTGGCCAATGCACGTGGATTAGCTGTAAACCTATGTGCTGGTTGTAGGTCAAACCACATGGGGACATGTACACTGTACATATGTGGATGTTAAACATGGTTCTTGCTCTCAACTTTATATTGAAATACCTGCTACAGGTTGTAAACTCACTATGATGACGCTGCTGTCTTGCAGGGCATGGATGGACCGTCAGGTCCAGCTGGTCCCGCTGGGCCAAAGGGTGACATAGTAAGATTTTTTTTAATCTCACTGTTGATACATCTTAACTTTAATATTTATTAATTATTTTTTTTAATATTACCTCATTTTAAATATATCATGTGGGATTTATATGATTACAACATTGATCCATTTGTGTTAGGGTGAGAGAGGAGCACAGGGTGAGCCAGGACCAAGGGGACCTTATGGACTACCTGTAAGTGACACTTTTATTTTCTTAAAGAAACATTTCATTCAGAGATTAGTTTAATTTGATTAGGTTACTTACTCCTTTTAAGTCAATTACAGTTTTTATTTAGATCTGTTGATTATTAAATTGGATGCATATATGTATGTGTATTTATGGATTGCGTATGTGTATGAATATCAGCATATATATATATATATGTATATGTAATCAGATGTATAAATGATACTCCATCCATACAGGAATCTGCAAGTGTGTATTCAGGATCTGTGTGTGCATAGTTAAATGTGTAACAAGTCTGTGAATGTGCACATAGATCTGTGAATGTGTGGATAAAAGCTGGGAATACATTGAACTTATCAGTTACAACTGAAGCCGGTCTTTGCATGTCTGCTCCCTTCAGCAACACCTCCACCTTCTTTGCAGTCGATTAAATAATAGTTCTAGCTTTGTGATGCTTGATGTTCTTTATTTTCAGGGAGCTGCTGGAACACCAGGCTTAGACGTAAGTCTGTGGAACTTTCACAACTCAGAGACCCAAAACCATGAATAATGTTTCACTGAATCAAATGACCTCCTCCATTATAGGAATGCTTTGACAAGAAAAAAGCAAGGCTTTAAAATAAAGAAAAGTACGAGAAGGTGCAACTCTCCAGAATTAAATGCAACAACACAATCAAACCCACTTTTTCTTCATTAGAATCTAAGCGGAAGTGAGATTAGGGCATGTGTTGTATGTGCCCATGTAAAGATAATCTATATATGACATTTATATGGTTATTATTTCCACAATCCAGCTGGCTAAACTTAGTGTAGGGTGATTGATGCTTTACCTCTGAGTGCTAACCGGCCAATCAGTGATCAACAGAAGAAACAGGTTTGTCACCTGCTCAAGCTTTGGTTTGTACATTGTTGCATCTGATCCTGGAGAGTTGTCACATACATCAGAAATCTTTTAGACTCTTTTTCTCCCTTTCTAAAATTCAGATTTTTTTCATTCTTTTGTTCAAAAATTTTGATCAGCTTCGTTAGGACGATGAAAAGCCCTTTTGTGTTTGCTCAGTAAAGTAATGAAGCGGAGTTGTACTCTTACAGGGGTTGCCAGGCTTAAGGGGAGAGAAAGGCGACGTTGGGGAAAGAGGAGAAAAGGTAGATGTAGAAATGATGTGATGACTTGCTGAGTCAAGCCCTTAACATTGATGAGGACTGATGTCAATGGACAGTGATGGGACTTGTTTAGGTGTTAATGAAGATGTAGTCGAGTTTGAGACACTGAATACTGAGAGAATAACAACACACTGTGAAATATGAAAGTGCATCCTAATGAATTGATAGTTTGGTTCATGTAGGCTTCACTTAAGTCTGTTTTCGCTATGTGAACCAATTGGAGCTCTGTACGATGTAAACCTGCCTTTGCATAATGAATCATCACCAGTCCTCTCAGATCAGCTTTTGTTCTCCACCTTTAAATGATTTGTCATCTCATTCTTCAAAGTCCCAAGTCCAGTCTCATTCTCAGCATCCGAACGTGTCAGATCCAACAAGTCCATTGACAGCAGGCTCTTAGAATTCACTCTTCTGTTGTTTCCATGCATGAACTCACATTTTACTCCAGCCTGTTGATAACTCTTCCCTTGCCCGTGCACACAGCAGTCGTTCAGAGCTTAGTCTGTTCGTCTCTTTTCACTTTTCACTTGTTTCTTAGATGTTTTGTGTTGTTTAGAAACTGTATCCCATTCCTGGAACGCAACGATAAAGATACTTCTCTGTGAATGTGCGTATTTACAGACCATTTTCCCACAGGTCATATAGCTCTGCTCCTGTTCCAGGTATTAAGTAATAACTGTCAGTAATGAAAATGACAGATTATGGATAAAGAAAATTAAATATGAAATGAAAAAAAACAATAAACAAACACTAAAATAAGATTTCATGGGCTGTGTAGAACGTAAAGGCTGAACTGAAATGAGTCGGTGAGGTCTATGGAGGATTTCTGTAAACCCTGTCGCCTAGCAACAGTTGGACACAAGAACATTTAATACCCCTTGGTTTTTTGATATATGTACCGTCAGATACATGCATTTAAAAGTGTAAGCATCAGATGTTTTGGTCTTGCCATTTGCCCTCCCATTATCTCTTTTGAAGTAAGCTTGTCATCACAGCGCAATGAATCCTGGGATAAGTTGGCCCGAGAGGCATCCAGCCATCGGAGCCTTTGTTGCTGAGGGAGGAAAGGCCCACTATGGAGGAGCCTTCGAAATCAGATGCTGTGATGCAATCATCCTCTAAATGCATCCTTTGAAGGAGGCGGACCATAAATTGTGACGTAGTTTACAAGCCTGGTTACACAATGGTGAACCTTCATCTCCCGCTAGCGAGGGAGTGAATAAAACATTTCCTTCCTGCAGCAAAGCAAATTGCATCGTAGCTTAGCAGAGAGTTCAACGTTGGTGAACTTTGACCCACGATGTTAGCTTCACATTCATGCATGTGTGACCGTGCCACAGGTCACAGGTTTGTTGTATCTACACAATTCAACAGTTTGCTGCAAATTCATGCCGTTTGAAAGTAGAATCACATCAAACATCTCATCTCATGACGGCTGGAAACCAACCTGTGATATTACATCTGCTGCTAAAATGTTCTTGTCACACTCTCATATATATCGACTAACATTTTATGACTAATAATGTTTTATCCTGAAGGGATACAGTTTTAACTTTTTGGTGTGTCGTAGTATTTAATTCTGTCTCTCTGGAGGTTTTCTCCCTGCTACTCTTTCTCATCCTTTGTGCCCTTGACCCCCCCTTTTGGCAATCAGCTGTTTTCCACCTCTTCCCACTATATTACTCCCCTTTTTTGTCCTCTGTCTGTGATGAGGAATGTTTTTTTTAGAATATCCAGTACTGTCTGGTATCCCCTCCTATCTAACACTGACGATGTGTCTTTCTCCTTCATGGGCCTTCCTGTTTAATCACTCCCCTCCTAATAGCAGTGCTGTCCCAATGTTCAACAAAAACTGATTTTAACTTGACCCAACCATTGTATCCACAGGGGGAGAAGGGAAAGAAGGGCAAAAAAGGGCCTAAGGGGGAGAAAGGAGAACAGGGTGCCCCTGGATTAGATGCACCCTGCCCATTGGTATGTCAAAACTGCGAACTGTAGAGCAGTCGTCCCGAACCAGGACTGAGCGCCCTTTGGCGAAGCAGATACCCAGCTTCCGCCAGACAACCTGACACCAACCAGATACCATTTATTTCCAGAAACTCTAAAACATGTCATTCAGTGTTGATGATGACGTATATCTGGGCTGGAATGTGGTATCTGCAAGCTCACAGGGCAGCTCCTTTCCTCGCCACCGCACCCGTGTATCTGTCGTAGCGGACAGACGCAGGGGTTAAGGGTCGTCCACCTCTCTCCCAGTAACACTCCCAGGTCATCTTTGCAAACAGGGTTTCCGGGGATTTAAGGGTGAAAAGGGGGAACCAGGGCAGCCAGGTCTGGACGGGCTGGATGCCCCATGCCAATTGGTACAGTATTTCTCTTTTTCCTCCAACTCCTAACCAATGCATGCCTCTTCACCTTCAGTCACTGCTGAAACCAGAGACCATGCATGACCTGAGAACACAGCAAGCATGAATACACCTTATTTTAACCACAGCTACATTACAGTTATAAATTCATTAAAAAAGAACACACATCACCAGTCATCCCACTAACTCTCTGACCGCAAGCAGCCTCTTTTAGTGACATTCTTACAAGCCAAATATACAAAATAGACATATGATTCTTAAAATCTATTCCTCTAACTGAATCCTTTCATTCCCTGGATTAAAACTTGAGAAAAAAAGTTCTGCTTAGTTCCCATTTCCCTGAAACTGATTCTTTCAGTGACCTTTTAACATGGCGCTAACACAGACTCCCTTACTGATGAGTTGCGATAGGCACATGGACCCCTCCTTTACTCTGTTAACTTCCCTTTTCCACCCTTCCTGTATTTGTACCAATTGGGCCAGACCGTGACAAGAGGAAAATCAATTGGAGTAGACTGTGGTCAAATATAGAAGTGATAGTAAAGATAGCATTGGGTGTGATTAAGCATACTGTGTAAATAATGAAATGAAAGAGCAATAATGGTAATGGGTAAGAAAACATAACAAATGTCATCTCATTAAATTACATCTCCAGTCATTTACATGAACCAGCTGTAAATGTATATTCATATATTGCCATGCATGAGATGTATTAAGATGTGTACTGCATGCATGAATCTGGTTTTGCTCTTGGAGTTTTCATTACACGTTATTTTACAAAACGTGACATCTGCAGCGACTGCAGTCACACAGACCAGCACAATATATTCACAACTTTACAGCTCCTGGAGTGGATTTTGATGAACAGTTATTGCAATCTGCATCCTCCCTATGTTGCTAAATTTAACATTTAAACATTACATATATGAATATGTTGATGTAAACAGTCCAGTTAAAGCAACACTATGGAACTTTCAAAGTTAGTTTAATGGTTCACTGACTTGGGAGGGAGAATGGTGCTTTTTTTCATTCCCTCTCCTCACCCTGAACATCTGTTCTATATAACTTTGGTGAGTGGGTATCTCCTGTGAGAAATGTGGAACTGACTGATAGTCGTAGCTTAATTTGCCAGAATCCGGCCCAGCAAGTTCAGGGGAAATACTTCAAAGTAATTTAAATCCAGCGTTTAACTCAGATATTTGGTGAGGAAACTTTTAAAATTTAAAGAATTCTGAACAGACCTTGGTATGTTTGTTACAGAAGCAGCTCTTCTGGTACTTACACAGTCAGAGCTTGATAGGCTTTACATAAAGAACCACTCCATCGCTCGGGCCTAGGAGTCCGACCAATTTAATCACCACTGGCTGTAGAGGGCGCTGCTGCTCAGTAAAAGTCGCATAGCGTTGCTTTAATGCAAGGGCAGAGTAGTTTTTACAAGTCGGCAACTACTTAAATTTAAGGATTTCAATACCCAGAAGTCCTACACAGTTAAACCTTTTCATTAACAATGAACATAATAGTTATGCTTTCTTTTGAAAAACTTCATTGCTGTTTAGAAGCTGGTTTTGATTTGGAAATTGTTTAGGATGGAATATTTCCCTGTCAGTTTATAGTTTGACATGATGGGAGATTCTGTCATATCAACTCCAACTTTGTGATGCAGGCTTGTGTGTGTTTCTATTCATATATATATAAAATAGGCATTTCTGGTGTGTAATAGCACAAAGTCTACTCATTATCATCTTTGTGTGATCTTCATGTATTACATGCAAACCCTCTTTTTCCTCTGCACTTCTCATTGTTGTTTATCCTTCCCTGCTACTCTTCCTCTGAACAGGGCCCAGATGGATTACCAATGCCTGGATGCTGGCAGAAGGTAAGATAAGCGTATTCTGTATTTTTCTGTTAAATGACAGCAACTGCAGTGGAAAAATATTCGTCAAATCTCAAATGTCAGAAAACATTTTAATCCTCTCAAGCCTACATCTGCATCTATAGATTTTTAAAACCGAGCTGTGATTAATTTACTTGTTCACTAGCAGGACCACGTCTCAACAAAGTGTAATTTTTCATGGAAAGTGTATGGATGTTGAGAGACGGGATTAAGGTGAGGATCAGTCTGATAGGCTGACCAGGAAGGAGGTCAGATGGATGGAGGTTAGGGAGGGAAAAGAGGATGTAGGAATATAGGGATTAGGAACATAGACCCCCATATAAAGATGGATGCATCATCTAGTTACTCTGCACACAAACTCAGTTAGTCTCAGCTGTCTATCATCAAGTTTCACCTAATTTTTATAGCATCCATTTTGGAATGCTACCTAAAACGACAGAAACCATAGAAAAAATATATTAGACTTTCTGTTTGGTCCATGTCCCATCAATTAATATGTGAGGAGGTCGGATTGATGACCTATTCTGCAGCCAGCCACCAGGTGTCGATTGAGCTGAGGCTTCACTTTCGAGGAGCTGACATGTCCATCTTGATATGCATGGTTTGGGTGAGCACAGGGAGGGATGAGGCAGAAGGATGAATGGATGAAGGAAAAGGAAACGTTGGGTGGAGAAATTGGAAACAAACAGAGCGTGATGTGGTTGAGACGTGGCCCTGCTTCAGAACTAGTTCACTTAAGTTCCTGCCTAGTGGATAATATAATAAATGTATCTCTTAATATTTTCTTCACTTGATCGATTGTTTGTGCCTCTTCATGTTTGCATGGGTTTCCTGTTCAATCAGTCGCCATAGCGCTCGATGTTTTTCCCTCACTCAACATTGTACAAATCATGAAACATACTGGAAACGTCTTCATGTCATTCTCTCTTCTGTGTTTTTCTTGCAGTGATCACTCTAACCTGAAACGCATGGAGTTTGTAAATAATGCTTCTTTTATGGTATTTATAGTTTTTTTTAATGGGGGAAAAAAAGAATAGTACAAAAGAGAAACGAAGAAGTCTATGTGTACAATGATACAAAAGAGAAAAAAAAGAGATAATTGTCCCTAAGCTGCTTCTACTCACAACGCTGTGTGAAAAACAAAAAAACAAACACGTGTGTGTGTGTGCTCTCTCGCATCCACGTCGCCGTGGTTGAGTTCAGATCCTCGGCTGGCGGCAGAACTTGTCTCTTTAGAGTCTTTGCATGGCTCAAACTGGAGCGTCGCGGCCTGACCAGATTCTCGATGGTGAAAGGAGACGGAGGAGGAGAAGGGGGAGGAAGGGGATCTGGACTGGCTCTCTAACACCAAACGCTATAGGTGTTTTGTGTTGTTTCGTCTGACCACCCCTCTCAAGCAGCATCGTTTTCTGGAAGACTAAAAAAAGACTGTGCCAAACAGAACATTGCACCCCTGACCCCCCCCCCCCTGCAAAAGCATGAGTAGTGTACTGAATCTATATTTATATGTATTGTACATACATGTCACTGTTTTGTGGTTGCGTCATGGCTTCTGCAGAGAAAGAAACACAACACTAACATAGAAAAACAAACCCAGAGCTCTAAATCAGTGATTTTTTATTTTTATTTTTTTGCTTTCCTTCAATCTTCCCAAGGGAGTCACGCCGTGGCTGGTAGCCTGAAAACCCTTCCGCAGAAAGTAGAGCTGTTGGTTATTGTTGCTTTATTGTGGTGCGGCCGGCGAGAGGGTCTGACATCAGCAGGGTTTTTTTCACTGTTGCACTTGTGGCCAAGCGTCAGTGGCACCGCACGTCTCTGGACAGATGGGGGAGGGGGCAGGAAAACAAAACAAGGATTTGGGACCGGACAGGTCTACTTGGGATCCCCCCCCCCACCCACCCTTTCTCTGTCGGAGGATTATGAAGGGGAGTCGTGAAGAACTGCCTCTCAGGGTCAACACTGAGAGCGTCAACAGAATGCAATCACTTATATCTTTACATTATTCTTTCTTTTTTTTTGCTCTCATTCTTAAACATTGTTTGTATTTTGTGTATAATAGCCTTTGGTGCCTCAAGCTTTTATTCATTCCTTTTATCAGAAACTTTATATGATGTTTTTAATTTTACGGAATGGTGTTGATTTCAGAAGGGGTAAGCTTTGGTTGTATTGTATCGAGAAGATGCTCTGTTTCTCATTTTATTTTTACAGGATGTTGAAATAGTTGTAGCTTCAGATTGTGTCCATCAGCCTCCGATCTCACTCTTGGAGAAAGAAGCTCTTTGTTTGTGCGGAACAGATCCCGCGTTTTTCACTCTGGGATGTCATTTGTGCAGTGTTGTCAGTTCACTGCATGTATGCAGTTTATTCTTGGATGTTGAGCGTAAGCGTTGCTGCAGAGGAGCGCAGTTTTGTTTCATGCAGGGACAGTCACTGGTGTTTCTGATGTGTCGTATTAAGGCTGATTATTATCTGTTCCACCTCATGAATTGTCTTAAACATATAGAAAACACAGAAAACATGTCAGAATAGCTGCAATTGTCAGTAAATGGAACCACAAGCTAAAGCGTGGCCAGTTATGTCACATTCCATATCGGATGGAGCAAAAATAATCGGAGCTAGATTTATTTTTCACCACAGCCTCTAGGTCGTGAATTCAAATTCCTCCTGACACAGTTTGTGCTATGCGAGGTGACACTCGCAGTCTTTTTCTTCAACATTGCAAATATATATTTGTGAGTGATTTACTGTCAGGGCGGATGGGAATAAACAAAAACCAACATTTTGTTGTGATGTAGCAGCGACCACAATTGGACTGGAGAGGATGTCTGGTTTCTGTTTGATTGTACAGTTCATCTCATCATTATAAAGAAAGGAGACACAGATTATAATGGTGCTAACTGATAGTCGGCCCAGTTCATGTGCTCTAACAGTGGCCAGAACAACACAACAGGTTTCTTTATTGTTGTTGGTTTTTTTTATGTATGTAACATTTAAAAGTTTTTTGTGCATATATTTGTGTCAGTATTTTAAGTGGTACGTTTATTTATTTTTTTCTATAATTTCTAACATGAAGGCATTTTTGGTTCGGAACAGCATTCCTCTCAGTAGTTTTGTTTTTTTGGCTTTGTTTCTTTTCCGCTGCTGCGACTTTTGGATCGCGCAAAGGCATTGTGAAACAGTTATGCAAAGTGGCACAGTGTGAAGGAAGTTGGTCAGTTTTTACAAATTACAGTGTGCATTCAGATTATAGGCCTTATAATGGAATACATCTGCTTTTATTTAATTTAGTGCGTCAGAACGCTAAGTACGACAACAAGGTACTGGTGGCCCGAGCGTTGATGGGCCCAGCCAATGCAACCACGCTAAACATCACAGCTTTTTCTCATGCTCTCTCTCTCTGTCTCTCTCTGTCTCTCTCTCTCCTCTTTGCATTGAATGTAGTTTGATATATGTATAGTGGATTATTATTATTATTACTGTACTGTTAAGATGTGTGCTCATTTGACAATAAGTGCAATTTATACTTTGGTTAATGTGTGTAGCATCAAATGCAGCTGAACTGTCACACGACCTGTGATCTCTGTAGCTCCATTTGTTCAGTCATGCTACCCTGTGTTACCACTACCTGGAAAAAGAAAATGTTTATTTACAAAGAAACCATTATGAACACGGACCTTTCATTAAGTCTCAATTTCTAAACTGTCCCTTCACTCATGTTTTAAAGTGATTTCCAATACTTCATATTTAGTTTTTTTTTTTATCTTGTGTTTTGACATCCAGCCTTTGTTACAGTATTTGTTCTCACAAAGTGCTGTATCTTTAGCATGTGCAGCTACATTTTCTAATTGAATTTTTTTTATTTGATTGATTTTGTTTGCATTTGTTTGATTGTTGCATTTCCTGGTTGAAGTTTCATATTTAGATTATTCTGCTGTTTGCAGAAGTGCCAAAATGATATTTCCATGTCAGTATTAGCAGAGCGAGTGCACATCTGGGTATTTGTCAGTGCTCGGAGGTCTTTCACCTTTCAGAGCAAAGGTTTGGGATAATTGACTAATTTTGCGCATTTTTCTGAAAGACAGCACTGATCTCTGGTGAGAAATTGAACCTCTCATACTTCTGTACCCTTCCGATGCACTGCAGCCTTACTGAAGTAACTATTTTGCCACATTCTCTCCAAAATAAAAACCAGTTGTGGCTCAAAATGCAAAGTAAAATCCACTCTTTGGCTTTTTGAGTCACAACCTCTGTTTTATTGGGTTGTGGCACATGTTAAGTTTATGTTCTGCATTTGTGTTACACTTTTTTTTTTACCCACTTGATTGACATTTCTTTGAAGACCCTTGTGTTCACACGATCTCATATTTGAAGATGACATTTCATATGACTGTACTGTTGGAGCCAAATAAATGCAGTCTTTCAAATACATTATGCAACAGACGTGTTTTTATTGACAGATTGATTCAAAAACAATAAAATATGCACATAATTTGACCCCTGCTATGAGGAAGTATACTGTAATTTTTTGTATGTTTGGTTAGTTGGCTTATTTTACTTAGCTTTGTTAGTGTTTATGATTGTTAGTCTCTTTAGTTTGATTTGTTTGTTTGGTTCGTTAGTTAGCTTAGTTAGTTTAGTTCACTTAGTTTGTAAACTTAGCTTTGTTTGTTTGTTTAGCTAAGTTAAGCTTTGTGAGTTAGCTTGGTTAGTAACCAATGGTTACATATATTTATTTATATATTTATATTTATAACATTAGCTAATTGGTGAAATTAACCTTTTTATGAACACTTACATGTAGTTTAAATATTTGAATTAAGTATTCTAATCCCTCTACTTAAAGTCCTGCAATCAAAAGGTTGAACAAAAAAACAAATGACAAATGTTTCCCTCAAAATGGAAGTAGAAGTACAAACACTGGCAGAAAACTATTCCACTGTTGGAATAGATTGAAGTAAAATGGAAATGCTCTGGTAAAATACAGGTATGTTTGAAATGAGACTTACGTAAATATAGTTCAGATACAGCTGAAACAACAGTGTGCAGTTCTTCCTCATATCCATATCTGACTGTATATTTATGTAGATGAGGCTGCACAACAGCTGTCGAAATGCCAGTCCTCACACGTCACTGCGCGCGCGGCACTTGTCACAGCTGGAAAGTGCTGCGTGTGTGTGTGCGTGTGTGTGTGCGTGTGTGTGTGTGTGAGAGAGAGAGAAGCTGTGTGGGGTTGGATCACCTCCTCACTCAGCGCAGTGACGAGCAGCTGGGTAACATCAGCATGGCCGCTGCGGTGATACTCGAGAAAACTAGGACGCTAGACCTGCGGAAGAAGCACATAGGGTAAGATGAGTAACATGAATTACTGCGCCACAATGAACAGGACGGCTGTGAAGTTAGTTGGGCTCCGACTAAGTGCTGAAAAACAACTTTATCTAGGCTCCGGTCTGTTTTCTAGACGTCCTCTAGGGACGCAGTGATGAAACAGTGGAGGTGTTTTTCTTTTTTTCTTTTTAATCAGTAAATTCATTTGTAGCTAAGCAGATAATTCAATTTTATATACACTGTTATATACCTCTGTATCTGTGAGCTGCAGGAATAATTTGTGTGCATTACATTCTGATATACATATGTATGTGTATTATATTGCAGATAAATACATGTGTTTATTTATATTAATTTACACAACACATATACATATATGGATATGTATAATATCCACAGACAACATAGCTTGACATATGTACATGTATATTGTAAATAACAGCCTATGTATCTATGTATCTTTATATGCATATTATATTGCAGATTCATATATGTACACACGTATCACATTACAAATAACAGCTTATAGATGTATATATATATATATATTGTATTTATATATATATATATATATATTTATATGTATATATTGCATGTAAATACATATGTTTATGTATTATATTATAGATCTATGTATATATTGTAGATACATATATGTATATGAATATTATATCAAAGATAACATAGACTATGTATATATGTATATTATGTTGCAGATATGTATATTATATTTAAAATACAATATGTTTATTGCATTGCAGTATACACTTGTTTTTGACTTGTCCTGTTGTGCCCTTGAGTCATCACATTCTATTTTACCATGTCATCAGCACAATGTAACTATGGTCTACATTCACACACATTCCGCACACACATGCCATGTACTGACTCTAGCTCCTCTGCAGGCCTTCTTGTAAGATCTTCTTCAGTCATGACCCGATCAAGATTGTGCGAGCAAGAGGCCAGTACATGCATGATGAAAAGGGACACCGCTACTTGGATTGCATAAACAATGTGGCTCATGGTAAACACACACATGCACGCACATGAAGATGCACAAAAATATTTATCACCTGAAAAACAAGGTCAAGGATTTAGGCTGTCTAAGTGCACAACCTGCAGAAGAGAATCATAAAGGCTGATCTCACCACTTTTCACAGCCTTTAATTTCAGCTCATGGCATCCAGTGGTGATCTTTTAATCTCAGTTGTCATGGCGTGCTGTCATTTGACGTCACTGTAAAGCGTGTCTCTTGTCCCAACACTGAGGACCACTCCTAACCCTCCTAACTGCGTCCTCTCTTCCCTCTCTCTCAGTGGGCCACTGTCACCCGGACGTGGTGCAGGCGGGAGCTCGGCAGATGGAACAGCTCAACACCAACTCACGTTTCTTGCACGACAACCTCGTACTGTACGCACAAAGGCTTCAGGCCACATTGCCTGACAAGCTGTCCGTGTGCTATTTTGTCAACTCTGGGTATGTCTGCATTTCTTTCTGCCACTCCATCGTCAACAAAGACAACATTAAGGAACTTGAGCAATTCTTTTTGGGTTTATTTCGTAGGTGTGGATCAGTGAGGTTATGAGAGCACAGTGCAGATAATGTAAAAGGTTGTCAGTGGCAAATCAACTGACACACGCAGATAGCCTTTTCATTAATGTCCCATATCTGCTGTGGACTGTCCACGAGAGCAGCAATAAAGGTTATTCTGATGCTATAAGATAAGAGGAGGGTAGAGTCCAAACAGGTACTCGAATCAAACAAGTGACACTTAAAGGTGGAACAAAAACTTTTTCAAAATTCTGGATTTATTATTTTAATCAAAGTAGCTCGAAAGCTAACTGTTCCACATCAGTGTTCCTGGTTGTTGTCTTCACCTGCAACTAAAAGAAAAACAACATAATGCAATGCATGTTCAGCATTCTTAGCACTGACACACCCCTCATGGCACTGGACCAGTGGTTACTCATTGACACCACTTGCTGCAGCTCTGCAGTGTGAACAGGAATGATCTGGTTTAAGTTAATACCATAACAATCCATATGCACTCAACACTGGACAGAGTATCCTTTAGGCATAGGGGAATAAATACCCTACCTTGCCCTACCCCTCCTGCAAAGCTCAGAAACTGGTACAGTAGTTTTTAAATAATCCTGCTGACAAACAAACAAGCAGCATTGAAAACATCCTTGAAGAAAAAAAAAACTCTGGTTGTAAAGTACCTAGACACGCCTAATACATAGGTGTGCATGTTTTTCTAGTTTGGGCTGTTTAGCTCCTCACAAAAAAGCTCCCGATGCTGCGGCATGCAGCAACATTTTTCATTCTTAATGTTGTTAGGGTAAGGCCCGTTCCCGTTTCAACATGACAAAGCCAAGTCCGTAAAGTGAGGTTTGCCACATACAGTGCATGTTGTGGAGGAACTTGACTGGTGTGCACACCTCAGCTCAACCCAGCACTTGTGGGATGATGTGGCACTCAAGGCGTTTTCCCTCATCACCACCCTCACTAATGTTGTTGTGTATAAATGGAGCAAACCCCTGAAACCGCAATGTGTCTCATCTTTACATGTCAATACATTTTCCTCAACCGAGAGGAATATAGATTCCTCAATCTGTTTTTTGTGATAGTTAGCAAGATTACACAAAAAACTACTGGACAGATTACCACAAAACTTGGTGGAATGGTGCAATATGGCTCAGGGAAGAACGAGTTTTTTGACATTCTTACTGATTTCCTAGGCAGTAATTCATGGATCTTGATGAAAAACAAAGACAAAGCCATGTTTAAGGGATTAATATCGATGATTTTGTGCAATTTGGTGCAGAATGACTGTTGGGTCTTGGAAGAGGACTCTTACCATGCAGCATTGGAAAAAACTACATGATGCATTCACATCCACATTACCAGCTCATGAGATTTCTTTTTCAGTGTGCAGAGCAAACTAGTTAATATGCCAGAGATAGATTTTGTGTTTTAAATCACAAGTTACAATATAATAATTCACAATTACAGCATAGAAGGGCAGAACAGGATCATTCTAATATTAATCTGCTGAAGGTCACCCACAGCTTCTTTGGAGTTGGCATATAAGTAGTTTCATAGTCTAAACTCTTGAATGATTAAAATTTTAACTCTTATTCTTTTTATTAATAAATAGGTCCTCAACTCCTATGCCCATCTTGTGGTCAGTAAAGAAAACACGAAACTGGGTCTGACGTCGGAGCGATATGAGCGGCCTGGGCTGTGTATTTTGTGGTGACTGAGTAACTCAGAGTAACCCTTGCCCCTTTTGAACTTCAGCTCTGAAGCCAATGACCTGGCCCTTCGACTAGCATGGCAGTACAGAGGCCACAAAGACATCATCACGTTGGAAAAGTGAGTGCTGCTACCCGGTCACTGTTGGGGAAGAAACAAAATCCCCAATTGCTGCATCACACGAGCAAAATCAAAGCACATAAAAAACAATGAGCTGTCCTTTTGTCATTATATTAGTATTTGTAATGATATTACAGTTGAGGGAACAGGCTGATTCTGGTCCTGTGTTGTGTTGGTTTGCAGTGCGTACCACGGCCACCTTTCATCGCTCATTGACATCAGTCCCTACAAGTTCCACCAGCTGTCAGATGCTGAACACAATCCATTTGTCCATTTGGTGAGTGCTTTTTTTTTTTTCCTCTCCCCCGTTTGCCTGTGTGCACACCATCAAAACTCCATGTCTCAACTCTAGCTCTACCAGGCGTTGGCAGGCGGCTGAGTGTCCACACCTTGTCTGCACGTGGACACAAGTGTGTGTGTGGATTTAAAAAATGGACAGACATTGGCAAGACATAACGGTTTGACAAGGAACGGAGGCAGAGGCTAAAGTTTTACACACATTATTATTAACCTAACAGGCAAATCCTGCCTACGTAATATACGTGTAATGCTTAATTACTTTTCTTTCCTTTATATTTTCAAAAAAAGAGAAATTTTGAAGCTCATATGAGAATATTATAGAAACTCTACTGTCTACATCTGCTCCGTTCCTTGAGATCAGTGGTGTAGTTTGACATGTCAACCTGTGGAACACCAGGCTCTTGTGTTACA